ACCAGTGCGAACGTTGAATGGTTTCGACTTAACGCCATTAACTCCGACACAGCACCTGCTATCAGAATACTGTAATTGGATGGCCCTTAGCAGCTGGCCATCAATCCCATATGCACGAAGGCATGTCCACAGACTGTTGCGTTGGATCCGGTCATACGCTTTCTCTAGGTCCACAAAGCACATGTACACCGCATGGGCGTACTTCCACGATTTCTCAAGAATCTGGCGCAGGGCAAATGTATGGTCAGAAGTGCTTCGTATGGTTCGATGCGCCTTGATTTCTAACCAGTCATGGATACTCGCAGGATTGGTTTTCTGATTAAGGTGTGGAAGAACGGCGCCTTCGAGCTGGAAGCAGGACACAGCTCGATGCCGAGGAATGGCGTACTGTGGCCCTACGAGAAAGTGCTCACATGTCTTGCAGTGAATACGTTTCAGTTCGATGCCAGCGTGACGATGGACGACCGAATCGTTATCATATCATGCGAAATCCCTTAGCAAGGCGACGCGTACTGTGGAATGTTGATGGTGACCACGCCGATCATCGGTGATAAATTTGTACCTATTTTTACAATTTTAACGTTATATATAAATAATCAATAAATTACACTGTTTTTCAGCACGGCCACCAATACTCAAGAAGCTAATACAATTGATTTTGGTGTAGCCCTGAGCGTGAAAATGAGATCATCAAGGATGCGCAACGGAATTGTTTAAAAAACTAGAACTATGGCACAGTGCAAACACTGTGCATCGTACCACATAAATGGGATTCTGCATTTACGCGTACAGGAAATACATGAACATCCGAAGTACACTGGAATTAAAGATAAAGAAGAGTTTTATTATGCCTGCTCATAAGCACACGAAAATTACTTATTCCGGTAGCCCAGTTATGTCCTGAACTATTGCATGTTAAGGACGAAACCTGTCTCTGCATCACCGAGCCTTTCGAAGTGCTTTCAACCAGGCTGAGAGGTTGTGGAAAATAATATGACACGTGCCTAAGGAATATCGAGCAGTTAAGATTCTGAGACAGATCGAATTAAATCAGACCTCTTCAGTGAACAGTGGTAATTCTGAAACATGGTTCTGATTGAGTATCATTCGATCCAGTCTGTTTTGGCATAGACCACCTCAATAAGGCCACCAGTCACGCTTTCGGTGCCACACCCCGACATCCATAAAGTTAGAACTAGTCAAAACGGGAGCAGATGAGCTAGAAGTCAAACGAGCTTGTCTACACTCAACCCAGTTCCGAGCAATTGCGAAACATCATGACTGGCTGGCCATCGCATCGTCAATATATCTCATCATACCGGACAGCGCTGGAATCATCGTAACTGAATCAACTGGAACGTTACCAGCACGAACATGGACACATGTGTTACATGGCCGCATGTGGAAAAGCAACGAAAACATATGAACTGCATATACGAAAAGGTCAGTTCGACCTTGAACTTGAGGAGGAGTGAAAATTTCAAATTCTAGATGTGCTAGAAAGCAAATGAAACTGAAGACCAGAACCGTCGTACACAGCAACCCCATCCACGCCGAATGCTCTACCAACTTTTATTCCACTTTCTCACGTCCATCAAATGGTTAAAGACTGATTCACACTGTAGCTCTGAACCAAAAAAACTGTGCGGGAAATGCTCGGCACTCATTTTCTTCAACTGGAGAAAAACCCGTATTCGAGGATTTAATTAACAATTTAACAAAGTGGATTGTACGTGAAACAGGATTCCAATCCACATGGAACCCCAACCACCAGAGAAGACTTCGGAACCATCTTTTTTCGATGATTCCTAATGAAAAGACTTAAGCGAAAGGATGAAACATTTGAAGACCAGTAACAGAGCAATCGCGGTTTGCAGAAACCAAAAACATCTTGGCAACCGTTTATACAGGAAGTCCGTCATGGGTAAACAAGATTATGACATGATATTATATGGGATAAACTACTGGTGAGGAGATGGTTACAACATAGAAACTGGTAGAAAGCTGCAGAACAGGGTCAGTAAACATATGGCCTGTCTCAACAGAGTAGATGAGTAACACTCTGTCGCTGAGGTGACCAACATACTTAATAGCCGCGCTGTAAAATCGGACGTGAGCAACAGCATTTACAAAGAAACGAATTGTCGAGAAAAAATATTTGAAAAGTTGTCATGATGGAATGGACAAAAAGAAAGATAAACAGGCGAGAAAAAAACGTTAGAAATCTGTCCGTTATGGCTTCTTGTGCTACAGTACCGAATTGTACTTGAATGTATCCTATTGAATTTGCATGTACGCTCCAAGCTCATCACCATGCTCTTCTAACCTTGTCCTAAAACTGACCAAGAAACGACGCAGCAGAGTTCTTCATCCAAAAACACGGAAAAACAACTACGCCAGGTTTGAACCTACCCACAGATAGTTCGTAGCTCAGTTAGTTCTGCATCGTGATGAGCAACGCAAAGACGTTGCGGATTTTGCAACACATTTAACAG